CATTTACAGATAGCATTTAAAGGTAGGTAGATATACATCAACTCGACAACTAAATGAGGAAGCATGCAAATCGTCACTGTTTTTTACGTGTAAAAGCAGACTATCAATCAATGCGGCGCGTAACCTATGCGAATAATATGCGAATCACTTTTGATTTGGATATGCGGTGCAGACAATCAATCAATGCGGTCCATATGGATATGCGAAAAAATGGCGGATAGTCGTAAATTATGCGGCTTTAGATTTGGATATACGATTCGTTAATTATGCGGTTGAAGACTAGGCGAATCAACCCAGTTGTGCGATTGTTATGGGACATGATATGGGAATTGCACAATCAACCCAATTGTGCGATTATTATGGGACATGTTATGCGAATCGCGCAATCAACCCAGTTTCACTACTTTCTGTTAGTCAATCGTGTGCAGGTCACAGCGTAGGGTACCAACACAGTATTTTTCCCGTTAAACGTATTTTTTTCCGTTAAATTGCTTTACAATTAAAAACTCCAATGAGGTACATAACATTACATAACGTCTCCATCTTCATCAAAATTGTCATGGAATGGACGTGATGGACAAGATGACGATTTGTGACCTGTTTCTTTACAAGTACGACATCTCCTCGGGCGTCTCGATGTTGTTCTTGGATGAGGAGTTGGTGCGTTTTGACCTTCTTCATTTGAAAAAAAGTCATTATCACCATCGTATAGAGGGCACTTCACCCTGTTATGCCCGGTGACCCCGCACCGAGAGCACATCTGCTGACGCCGTACTCGACGTGATGATCCTTCTCCAGCGGAATAACGTTGAGTCCGTGGCCGACCTGCTTGTTTGGGATCATTTGGCGGAATTACCTTTATACGCATAATTTCTGGGGGCAAGTTCCATTCATCTGGATGTGGGACCGGGTTAATGGTGCTTTGGTACATCTTTGCAACTGAGCAAGTTTTGTAATGGTCGTTAACGAAATCCATTATATCTAACCCGGCTTCTCTGTATACATATCATAAATTTGCACATCATATTAGAATATAACAATTTTTTATTTTTTTTAAAAGAAAAAAAGGATAATGTTGTTTGGTTAACATTACCGAATAGCCGTAGATGCATGTAAGGAAGGTAGTAGATCTGTTTCAAACACACGACACTCACATGTTCTTTCCCCTAAATCTACCACGTAGGATCGTGTTTCTTCCATAACCTTATAACGTTGCATGCTGAGTGTGGTAATGGACAGAGTACGACCTTTTTCGAACAAAGGATCCAACTGCAATTGAGTCCAATGCGTTAGCGGATGATTGCGACCCTCAGCGGATACACGCCGAACAGCAAACCATTTCTCTATCGTTGCCCGAACACACTCCAACAACGAGCAAACGGGTAACATCCTGGCCCATAGGAGTTTGTTGTTCAAACTTTCGCAGGAATTGGATGTCATGAATCCATAGCGCCGTACAGGTGAAAAACACCTCACCCAAGCATTTACCGGAATTTCATTAGTTAGCTTTCCAAATGCTTCGAGTTTTTGGTTTCGGATGGCTGACAAGTAACGGAAGAAGTCTTCACGCCGATAACAATATGCCGCCTTGTAAAATATGTTCAATACCTGCTTCCCAAAAGGCCTCATTTGATTTGTGATGTGATAATAGCAAAATGAATGATGCGCCTCGGGGAACACTATTGGGACAGAATGTATGATAGACTCATGTCTATCCGATACAATGAGGAGGTTCTTAGGACAACCATAGGCCCTTTTCAAATGAGTCAAAAACCAACTCCAAGTCTCACGACGCTCTAGATCACCAAGGCCAATTGCGAGGGGAAAGATTTGGTGATTCCCGTCCAATGTGGCTGCAACAAACATAATGCCCTTGTATTTTCCCTTCAAGTGCGTACCATCTATCACAATCACCGGGACGCCAGCTCGTTGAAAGCCCTCAATGCTAGCGCCTAGAGCAAAGAACAAGTGGTTGAATACCTCGCCATCCCGTTGCAGTTCGACAATTGTACCTGGATTACGAACCCGCAACATGTGCAAGTAACCGGGAAGCCGCCCCCATGATTCTTCATGACCCCCATGAACTTTTTCAAAAGCACGGTGTCTTTCTCGGAGGGACACATTGTAGCTGATCGACAAACCATGCTCCTCCCGCATTTGCTCAATAATTCTCCGTGTAGATACCGTCTGGGGATTTGTCTGAATAGTTTGTGCGAACACATGTGCGAGAACCTTGGAACCAGCCGAACGCTGTCGATTGTGCGTCAAACTCCTTTCGCATGTATTTTCGAGTTTCAAAGTAGTGATTCTCCATACATTTCCATTTGCCATTGCACATAACTTGTAAGAACACCCTTCATACCGACAGATAGAGGTTAGCCTAGAAGTGCAGGATTTGGGTGTTCGACACTCAACTTTTTGTTGCAAGTGATAAAGTTGGATGGCACAAATCAACTCATCTTTCGAAAGAAAGACAGACCCCAAAGATAATTCTAAATTGTTCGAGGGTAAGTGGTTGGATTGTCTATCTGATCCAGTTGTCGTGGGCGGCATAGGAAGGGACCACATTCGTTGCTCAACGCCTGATTGTCGTGTGTTACCTGGATTCATATATGCAAGAAAAGTTTCAGCCTCAATATGGTCGGTAATTAATCTTAGCTCTTCAATATGCTTGCAATACCACGCCCTGAAAAGCTCGAACATTTTCTTGTCATTGACCTCTTTGTCTTCGTCGCCTGAATCATCATTGTGCGTGTTGGTTTGGTCATCATTGTTGTCATAGTCATAAGAATGACCTGGTTGGTTCGAACAACCCGCCGTTTGGTCATCAGCGTCCCGAGGATATCCAGTATGTGTAAATGAACTAGGGCCTGCTTGATATGAATATGGGGCCTCGTGGGAAAATGCAGAACTACCAACACCAAAAGAACTAGGAATCCCTACATTTACTCGCTTCTCCAACTCCAGGTAAATGTTGGGATTTCCTTGTTCTTCAATCAGCTCTAAGATATCTTCAATGGATTCGATTTTCATCTTCACAGGTCGTTCCTTTCCATCAAATACGGCCCACAATATGTACTCAAAATGGAGAGGATTGGCCTTTAATAATGCTTAAGCACGAGAAAATACTTCAGAATACATTTGTCGGCCGTAATTTATTCTCATCAGCTCTGCCACTCCACCAAGATATGAACCTCCTGAAAACGAACCACCATAATGCAGGAATACTTTAACACGGTTGCTAGCCATTCAAATAAGTGAACAACAAAAAGAATTAAAACGAAAGAAACAGAAAAATGTTGTAGATGAATGGTGCAGAGTGCAGATGTTAAATTGTTAGAGATCACTGTTTTTTTGCCTGCATGATAAATGCAGAGACAAAATCCTCACCTGTGAAATAGAGTCAATTTAATGAGGTGTGTAACTTATGCGATAGATATGCGAACAAATTCTGAATAGTCGTAAAATTGCAAGGTCGATATGGCCTGCTAAAAATGGCGCATAATCGTCAAATAAGTCATTATGCTTTATTCGATTTGGTTATGCGATTCTTAAATATGCGAGCGAAAAAATGTCGCATAATTGTCAATTATCCGGCGTTATACTGGATATATGCGAAAGTTTTTCGCATATTAGTAAATTATGCGATTGACTTGGATATGCAATTACTAAAAAATGTGAAGTCAACAAATTATGCGAATTATATGCGAAAAAGTTTCGCATAGTCATAAATTTGCAAGGTCGTATAGCCCTGCGAAAAGAAGGAAGGCGCATAATCATCGTAAATTATGCTGCATTCGATTTGGATATGCGATTCTTAAAAATACGATATATTTTCGCATATTTGTAATTATGCGATTGATTTGGATATGCGATCCCTAAACATGCGAAATGGTTTTGCATAGTCATAAATTATGCGTCTGGTTGGATATGAGCTGGTTCATTTAGACATGCGAGTGTAATATCGCATAGCATTTTGTGACTTTTGGGGTGTAAAAGAAGTTATTTGACGGGCCGGTGTGTAAAAGAAAGAATAGAAATATAACGGGGTGAAAAAGATTTTGTCCCATATATATATATATGCCTTATCTGGCAATCAGCCGTTAGCGGATCATATAGCTGTTTTTACCAGCGTATTGTATTGACTGTTTTGATCGACACATTATATTAACGGATTGTGCGAACGCGTTTGGTAAAATTAGCTGATTTGATATTAATAAGTTGAATAAAATAACTAATGTGGGTAAATTTATAATTACTCAAAAAATAATAATAGTAATAGTTTTTTTTTTTTTTGGTAGTCAGCCACGACATATGGAGTTATGCCCCGACTAATCCGTTGGTCGATCCGGATCGCACACTTGGCAGTGGTGGATGAATCTCCCAATAAGGATTTTCTGCGTTCACAAGGACTCGAACCTGACACCTGACAGTGGTGGGTGAGTCTCCTAATAAGAGTTTTCTGCATTCAAAGGACTCGAACCTGAGACCTTGCTTAAGGGACATCAAGCTGCTTACCACTTGGCCAACTCCTGTTGGTAATAATAATAGTTCATTAAATATATATATATATAGAGAGAGAATTATAAGAATTTTATTTTAAAATAATGACATACGTTCACTTATTTTCTTATAGTGAAAAATAAAATATTTCAAATAAGAATACACAATTAATGAAAGTGGCCTTTAAGCATGCCAACCCAGTAAGAAAACAAAAATTTCAAAATAATTACCGATAAAAAAAATCTAAAAATAATTATTCCATCATCATAGATTGAAGGGACCTAATTCTTAAATAAAAAAAATAATAAAATAAAATTAAACATCAATCGCCTGCTGGAATGTGAATCATCACTACCTACAGTATACAAACGCCCCTATTAATTTGTGTCTTTCACATAATTAAAGAAATGAATTTAAACCCGCTAAATCCAAACGCTGCTCCAAGCAGCGTACCCAATATTGGCGTTCAAAACAGTCATTATCACCGCTCTTTTACCAAACAACATTTCTTAGTTGGTCAAACTTTCAAAACAGTTAAATGGACTAAAAACGCTAAAATTTAGCAGAAGCGCCAATAACCAGACGTAGCCATAAAAGTGTTATTCTAGTTGAGTCGGCTCTGTATAAGCTTACTCGTTTAATAAATCTAAAACACTAGACAAGTTATTCGCAAACATGAAAATGTCCATTACAAACAAGTTTGGCTCGTCTATTTAATTTAAAATTTACAAAAGCAAAAGTAAAAACAAGATGGTCGCGTAGAAGCTCGACTCGACTCGTTTAATTAACGAGTCTGCTTAATTATTCAAGTGTGACTCGTTATTATTAAAAGAATAAACGAGCTTTCCTACGTTGAGGTGTTCGCTATCATTTAATAACACTAATTATATATACCTTATTAGGATCATGAAATATTTATTTTCAATCGTGATATATATAGTTTACAAACATAGTAAACGTGCCGAACAACAGAGAGATTGGCCAACAACACGCATAAACGAAAATATGAAAAAATAAAATAAAATTACTGCAACATATATTTGAGACAATTAATTAAAGACACCATGTCTCTAGCACATCACGCCTTATTCACTCTTATTAATTATGATCACAATATTCCTCCTTTCAAATTAGCTCTCCACAATCGATTTCAACGAACTACCCTGCATGCAAACACAAGACAAAATTAATCAAGCAAGCAATTAATTAATTACAGACACATATATACAATCAAAATTTATTTCACCTAAATAACAGACTGTGACGCTTAATCTTACTTGGAACAATCGAGAGATGGGGAGTACTTGTACGGAATTCTGATTCCACAAATCCCCGGGAGACTATTGACGTAGACTGGGTTAGCCCCGACATTAGGGACGAGGGTCTTGATGCACCTGCAACCCGCTTGCAGGTCAGGGGTGGTGGCAGCAGCATTGAATAGGGACCTGCCACCAGCACAACAGGCTGGCGGCACGAACCCACCTCCTCTGAGATACCCGAGACACGGTGACATGCTTCTCAGCACAAAATCGCACGTGATGGCTGCGTGCGCACGAGGTGGAGCCATGGCTATCCACATTGCTAGGCAAATCGTGATAGCCAAACTAAAGGAATTGCTAATCGAAATGCGCGCCATGGATTAACTTCGATTACTAGCTAATTACTTTAAATTGTTTGTCGAGGATATATGTGACTGAGTGAATAGAACTATTGCTAGAGATTGGTATATATAGAGAGGTATGGATGGGCAAGTGATGATGGATCATGCATGTAATTATCTAAGAGAAATTAGTTAATTGCTCCTCGAATTCCGAAAGCTACATTCTCCTAAATGTTTTTGGGCACAAGTTCTTGAATCGGTCGGTCTAAATGTTAGGCGGGTAGATCCGTCATTTTTTATATATATAATAAAAATGCATACTTATACTATATAAATTAACATGTTTTGTTTTTGTTGTTTAATTCTTATAGTATGACATTATAAGTTTGAGAGATTTATATCTGTCCATAAAAAATGTATGAGTATGCAAAAGTTAGTCTTTTTAGCGCCGGTCAACCTGTCAATTTTTTTATAATAAAACTACATTATACTATGAATTAACATACTTTGTTTATGTTGCTTCTTACAATATGACATTTTATAGGTTTGAGAGTTTTATATCTGTTAAAATTGTATGAGTATGTAACAGTTCGGTCTTTTTACTGAAGCTGTAAAAAAAAATCATCTATGATAAGAAATGAACATCTTTGAAGTCAATTGGCATGCATGTATTTAGGTGTTAAAAATAGGAATTTGGCAACACATGCATTCAGGACCTAATTATATTAATTAATCCAGCAACTCAAACCGACGAGTAGTTCAAGTAATGAAGAACAAGAAAATCAGGTAAATTCAATTTTTCAGAAATCATAATGTCGCACATGACATGTTCCTCATCACTAAGGAAATTTCTTGATGGATTACGGGAAAAAAATAATTTTGGTCTTGTATTGGCTATTAAAAAAAATTAATTCAACGCACATCAAATTCAGTACAGATTAAATTTATAAAAAATACTCATTTGGCAAGTAGTGTTCTAAAAACGATCAAAATTATTAGTAATCAAATGTTTTTTTTAAATAATGATTTGGCGATTTTAGCGTACCAGTCATGATGAGCTTTAGATTATTACTATTTTTTGAAAAAGAGAAGAATTTAATGTACTGAAAACGAAACTAAACCAACACCACACCAATTTTATTTGTACGATTCGAAATAAATATATATGGGCTTTTGATAGTAACAATTGCCTAAGTTGTTTGCCAGCAATTGTTAATGTACATTTCATTGCACACATCACAATCATGGCACCCAAATTCGCTGCTTTCCAAACACACACACATATGTATTTATTTTCACTTTCCTTGTTCGAGTATTTTTTTTTGTTTTTCATTGAATCAATATATATTCAGATCTATGCCCATGTACAATCTTTAATTAAGTCACTCATAAACCTTTCAAATACAATCCTCACCACTATTTTCTAAGTAGCAGAAAATTTTTGAAGTGAAATATATATCATATCAAACTGTAATATATAAATAAAAAATTGGTGGGCTTGAGTTTTACTCATTTAAAGAACAACCCTTAGGGTGTTTGAAGCATAATTGAAGACACATTAACTGAGTTCTTGAAGGAGATGGGAAGCTTGGGGGGTCGGGCCGGATGAGAATGGAGCGATGGATAAGTTGGAGAGACCTCCGGTGGGATAGGTTAAAGTCAATTCGGATGGTTCGCTTAATGCGGTGATGGGTATGGGGATTGTTGGGTATCAAAGAATTACTAGGTCGACCTTGGAACGTCAAGGTAACACATGTATTCCGTGAAGCAAATTTTGCAGCTGATACTATAACATAAATGACTTTAGGTAGCACCAAAGAAATGATACGTAAAAGCTATAAAATGTTACCTATAGACAATAGGTAACGCAATATTGGCGCTGCAGTTGTTTGTGCTACCTAAAGTCAAAGGTAATACTTTTGGTAGTTTTTTGTAACACTTATATGATACTTTTGCTAGTTTTTGCTAACACTTATTTTAAAAGTGTTACAATAATATAATACATAAAACATTAATATGATACATAAACCAATACTTTATAAAGTATTACCATAAATGGCGCTACCTAAAGTTATATCATTTGGTTCCTTCACTGCGGAGGGTTCGTTGGGATATCATTTATTACATGTACCGCCAGATGGGGTTCGTCAATGGCTCCACCATGATCTTATTGTCGTAACTTATTCGCGGGCCGTGTGCAACTTAAACCGATAAGCATTGGCCTCTTTTTTGTATCATAAAAAAAAAAAAAGAAGACACATTAACTAAGCTATTTCTTAATATATTGAAAAACGTACCGATTTTTAAAATGCATCACATCGTACTTGTTTATATCTATAATTCTATATATATCTCTTATTTAAAATGTTACTTTGATTGTTACTAGAGCTTAATTGATGAAAACTCTTGATAGATAACTAGTGCGTGGCCCATGCGATGCACGAGAAAATAATATTACGATTGTATTATAAACTAAATATATAAATAACATTAATCATGATTTATCCATTATTTTTAAATTAAACCGGGTTAGACACAGTCTGACTGGATGGACCGAGAACCGGTTTATAACCAATATAGTTCGCTTGAATATAATATTTGTTCCCGAATCCATCAATACCAGTCGGTTGGACTGGTAGGATCGATATGATTTTCTAAATAAATTTTGTTATATTTAAAATTATTTTAAACAAAAAATTACATATTTAAATAAAATAGAGGTTTAAAAATTATTTATCAATTAGTTTAAACATTTGAATTTATAAATTGTTTAGATATCTAAGTAACACATTTTATTTAAATTTGTTACAAAAAGTACTATGTGTGTGTATATATATATATATTAAAATTTTTATAAATTAAAATCTAAACAAACCACAAATGATTTAATAAAATAGCTTGATCGTTTCGATGACGGTCCAGTTCTGAAAACTTTATGTTTACTATACATTAATAAATATTATAATAAAATATTATTTAATTCACATAAATATTAATAAAATGATATATAAATATTCATAAATCATTAAACATTTGTCATAAAAGTATTGTTAATACAATTATTCGAAGTTTGGACTACATCACATTCACGTAATAAAATATATTCAATATAAAATTTATATTTAGGTTCAATAATCAATTTGGTGTGGTCGAACTGATACATAACTTAGTCACCTGGGACCAACTAAGTTGTGTCAAGTTTTTTTACTATTTTAAATATCACCTAAAAGTAATTCAATCAATCTAGGCAGTACCCTAATTCAATCACCCGATTGATCCGAAGAAATGCTCTTATTTTTTTTAAATATATTTAATTTTATTAAATAAAAATATTTTATGATTCATGTAATGAATGTCTACAACAAATGATAGTATATTAAGATTATAAATTATATATCTAAAGATGAATTAATTATTTTACTTTATGCATATTAGTAAAAAAATAAACATAGTAATTTTAAAAAATTAAGATTAATTGATTGATTATGCAATTTAGAGAATTTTTTTAGCGTTCAATATTTTTTTTAAAGGCACAAATATAAAGACCGAGATTCTAAAACTTTTGTTATATTTTAGTTGAGATTTTATAAATATAGAGACTGAGATTTTAATGTTGTTCGTTGTTTATAAGAAAAAAATAAAAATAAAAACATACACATTTAATAAATCTTAGCCGAATGTTTTAAATAATAAAATGAACTAAAGCCCGAAATTTAAGATAACATTTAATATTGTATGATTTTTAAAGAAAAAGTTAAGGAAAATAATAAAAGTTACTATTTATAGGCTGCATTAAATACTACCCTATCTTTTTGCTACTATTTTTATTAAATGATAATTCTTATTATATAGATATAGATAGACTAGTGCGTAGCTCGTGCGATGCACGGGTAAACAATACGACTTTCATAGCATGTAAAATTGTATTATCACACATGCATAATAAAATCTACATCTTAACTTCATATTTTATGTTTTTTAATGGAATAAATTCTTCATTTAGGGATCATATGTATTTAATCTGTCCAAATTTATCAACATATCAGAAATTTAAATTTTGAATTTGAAGATAACCCAAATCTATGATTGCAAAATATCGTTTAATAATTAAATCAGACGCAACTTTAGGGTTTGATATTTTTAAACTTAGAAAAAATAAAATCATTAATTTAGGGGAGATATGTGATAAATCTATCTAAATCTTGTATACATCACGTTTTACAATTAAAGCAATTTAAATATGGATATTATTCTTATTTCAAATCTCTGATTTAAAAAAAGACCATAAAAATTTTGATCGTTTCAAAATTAGACTCGTGTAGTATTTTTTATTATAAATAATTGTCAAACAAAACAATTGGATCAACCGCAGCTTTATTCTTTTAATTAAAACTGGTCGATTTGATGGTTAGAAAATATGTTTTCAAAAGAAATAAACAAATATTTTTTTTAAAAAAAATTTACCCTTAAATTAGCCGTAATTTTTAAATTTGCTAATCAAAACATATGTATTAGCTTTCGACAAAAAAAAAAAAGAGACATATGTATTAGCCGATTTTATAGAAAATAAAAAGTTTCCGATATTTTGAAAATACAAAAAAAGCATATTTTTATGGTTAGAAAAAATAATACATAATTTATTTTATTATTAAATCAATCGTAATTTTTTTAGTAAAAAAAACCACCAAGCAAAACAATTGTATTAGCCGAATATCTGGTTTTAAATTTGGAGAATATAATTGGCCGATATTTAATTGAATTAGAAATCGTGACGTACATTTTTATTCAAACTTAAAAATAGTTATTGTAACCAATAACCAAATTTAATTGATGCAACACGTGCATTATCAGCTTTTGATAATCACATCGTGTCCGCAAATATTCAATAGACCAAATTTAAATAGCAGCCTACTTTTTTGAAAATAAAAAAGTAACAAACTCCTCATTTTCAGGACAATATTTAATGTTGTCCGTCCATTTGTTAGTAAAAAATATATTAAAAAGATACTATAAATGGTATGTTATTAATGTTGATAAGTTTTGACCAAGGATTGACTTACTATTTTTTATAAATGTTAGTTCTTATTATATATATATATAGATATTTTAAACCTTACAAAATTGGAAAGAGAAAGGAAAAAGTTAAGAATACGAGATCCCATAAAGACACGTTCTTGGATAATCACGCTTATATATAATTATCGAATTCGTTGAGCTTAAGTGACGGTCTCGTGTGCTTCGTAAGTTTATTTGCCATAAATTTGTGCTTCGCGTTGACAAATGTACAGGTTTGGTTTTAACTATTAGGCTTGGGATTGTCATAAACTATTTTAATTTTTTTTTTTTAAGTTACCATATACCATTCTTACATTTTCTTATTTAATTCATATATTAATTATCATGAATTAGTATTCTTTTTTTTATATAAAACTTTATAACTTTTTATTTTCACTTATGATATCTTACAATAATCATAACGATATTTGATTTAAAGATAGATGAAATTATTTTATCTTTATGAAAAAAAAATATTATCAAATAAAATTATAAAATATCAAATAAAACTATAAATTATTTTATGGAAATAATAAAAATCTAATTCAAATAAAATAATTAATTTTATATATTTTTTCCATTTTTGGATAGAATATGGAAATGGAAATATTGTTTTTCTGATTTAAATATATTATATAAAGAAGTAAATGTTATTAACTTAAATATAAAATATAACGGGATATCATAATTAAATAAAATAAAATAATTATGCGTTTCACAAATTTATAAAATAATAATTTTTTGCGTAAATTAATATTCAAAAATATTAAATTATAAAAATTTGAAAAACTTGGGAAATTAATAAACGAGAGACACCGACTTTATAAACATAAAATATAATCACAATACAATAAATCTTGTTTTGTTTTAAAAAGTTTCGAATTAGATATATGGAGTTGTAAATAATATTTGGTTTAGACATATATAATTTAGAAAAAATAACTAAAAATTATCATTTCTGACATATGCATTGAATAAATGTGGGCGCCATATTGAATTATCACTTTGTTAATTGTTGTATATTCATTATACATAATTTCACAATAAAAATATAAATAATTTTAAATTTTTATTGGTCAAATATTAATATATTTAAGTACTCGTGTAGTACACAGGTATCGTACCAGTTAATTAATATTAGACCATGTTTTTGTTTTAGTTTTATGTTTGATTAATGTCAATGAATGTGATGATAATTTTCTTATGTAGAGATGATGTTAGAATAAAATAGGCTTAATTTACTAATCAGTGCCCCGGTTTTTGTGGCCACTAATTTATCGATGTGCTACCTCATTGGATCTACCTTTATTTAGAGCAACTCCAATGCTGCGCTATTCTAGCGTAATACGCTAGAGTAGAGACAAAATTGTTCTCCAACGCTGCGCTACATTTCTGCACTACTCTAGAGTTATGAACAGTATCGCGCTACATCTGGCGCGGTACTATTCATTACTCTACAATTTTTATTTGTTTTTTATCTTTTTTATATTATATCTAATTGATTTATCTTAAACATTATTATTTGACAATATTTGTACCATATTTATAATTTAATTTTAGAATTATATGAAAATATTATTTTTAAAAATTTTATATTTATATGAATTCCTATAAAATAAATCAATAATATAAAATGATAATAATTATTTGTCCAACAATATTTCAATGTTGTAGTAGACCAACTAACATCATGATATATTTATTTTATAAAATAATATGTTCAATTAAATAATATTTTAACATGTTAGATAAATTAAAATAATTTGAATAATATATGTGGAGTAAAATGTAGCGCGAACGGTTGGAGACCAAATTTGATTTTTGTTTAGCTTTACTCTAGAGTAGAGTAAACTCTACACTAGAGTAGAGATAAGGACTGGAGATGGTCTTAATTTTCAGCTTTATTTCAAAGTTTTGTCTAACTATTCTATATTAAAAAATATTGAGAGGCTATTGCATAACCAATTGGAACACAATTATTTCAATTCCTATATATAAAATTCAATAGGTTACATAACATAGCCGCGGCATAGTACTAGAGAACTGTAGCCTATGACTGCTCATAATCCATTTTTTTTTTTTCAAATCAAACAAGCAAATTTATATCACTCAAATAGTAGTACTAGTACACACGAGTAACCCAGTGGTTACTGCTCATAATCCTGGACATTCATATTCATTACACATAATATATATCACCCTTTAATTTATTATATAAATATAGTAAAATGCCTCACGTCTTGGCCTCAATGGACGAACTCAACGGACCCTGCAAATGAATAAGAAAAAAATGGTAAGGTTATTATTGTTGATAGTCAAATAAAAAGAATCGAAATTC